AGCCTTCAAACTTCTACGGCACAACTCACTTTTCAAAAGACCTCAGGGAGAAAAAATGTACTCTAGAAAACAATATTCATGGGAAAACTACCTTCACTTCCTTCCTACCAAGATCCTCTCAAATAATAGGAAGTGGTGAGGAATCAATTAAGAATTCTGAGTTCCCCTGGGAAAAAAACAACACTCAAACCCTCAAAATACATGTATTCAAAAAATCACACACATGAAAGTCCCTGGAAATCACCACAGTATCAAAGAAAAAAAAAAACACCTTACTAAATTTAGCCACGAATGGAAAGCTGCAGTTATTCAAATATATTTTGATTATTTAACCAACATGTATATAGTACTTACAAAGTACCAGACTTTTGTGTTCCTTTCAAATAACAACAATTTTAATCCCAACAACAACCCTATAAGATAAGTCCTATTACGGAGGAGGAAACTGAGGCTCAGGGAGGGTAAATAATTGGCCCAAGGTCATAAGTGGCAGGATCAGGATTCAAAGCCAGGCACCTGATTCCAGACTTTCTCCTTTTAAGCACTTACGCACTTTTAGAAGATTCTTGAAACAACCAACCCAGAAAGTGAGAAGTACTGCTATAGATGGTCTCTGCATACAGATTGAGAATTTTAAATGTTACCGATATGAGCCCAGATTCTCTCTTACAATGGGGATTTTGTCTTTGTGAAGCTCTCTGGAACACACACACTCTGGTGCCACCTGAAAAAGTGAGGAGTCATTTGGAGAACCATTGAGGTTATCTGGATAAACTCTTAAAGCTGGTGTGCTCACTTATTTAAGGGTGGAACAGAGGTGTGGTGAATTACAGAAGGCTTCTCTACTCCACACTACGGATCTTTCTCACAGGTTCTAACAATTGGACAGTTATGTGAGTTGACAAGATCCTCTCTTGGGATGTAAAAACACTCTAGGACAGTTTGGTACATGTCAACTATGCCTTAGTGTATACTGTTTTTATTGGACCAATACTTATCTCAGAACTGTCTGAATTTTTATGGTGTGTTAGGGAGGGACAGAAGGAAATGTACCACTAATCTGACTTTCAACATTTTCATCCACTTTTTTCCCTCCTCATCTCTGTCTGAAAGATTATTTCTGCTCTAGCCTCTGAAACCAACCCTGGCATTATGTAGAGTTTAAGAAACACAGTTAACATGGCAGCTGATCCCGCTCTTGACTTACATGGGGGATCTTGTATCTTGTGCCTCCGAGCCTGCATCTCTGCCCAGATAACTTGCCTCGTGTTCCTCCAAGACCAAGGCTGTCCTCTGCTTTATCCAGTTTTTCTTTGAACTCCAAACCTGGAGTAGCTGGGACCTCTGTCTGATCTGCAGACCTCTGGAAGGTCCCCCACCAGGGGGTTCCCTCCCCAGGTACCCTTGTTGGCTACAAAACCCACACAATGGCTTTTGCTGTGTGGCCACCACCTCCACTATCTGCACCGGTCCTGTCCTGCCAGCACCTGACAATCCCCAAGCATCTGCCCCTCTCTATAAGGAACGCTGGTTTCTGGGTCCTGGTCCATTAGAATCTCCTCTGACGGGCCCCACTGCCCATCCACCTCTCAGTGCTTGTTTTAACATTGGAGTCACGTGGAGAGTTTTTTAGATATGTGGAGGATGACTGGGTGTCATCTAGTTTTATGAAATCAAACTCCCTAGGGGTGGGTCCAAAGTACTGTTATTTTTTTAAGGTTTCCAGAAATGTCTTACATGCACCCAGGGCTGAGAGACACTACTCTATATCAAATTCTCTCAAACTTCAATGTGCATACACAGGCCTGCGGATGTTGTTAAAATGCACGTGCTGGTTTAGTAGGTCTGGGTAGGGCTTGAGATTTTGCATTTCTGACTAGACCCCAAGTGATGACATTAACATTAGTCCATGTACCACCTTTTGAGTAGCAAGTCTCAAGACCAGCAGTTCTCAAAGTATGGTCAGGAATCAATGGGAACTTGTTAGAGATGCAAACTTTTAGGCCCTTCCCTAGACCTACTGAATCAGAAACTCTGGAGGTGGAACACAGCAATCTGTGTTTTTATAAGTCTTCCACGTGACCGATGCTCGTTATAGTCTAAGAACCATTGGCCTAGATGGCACTGCCCAATAGAAATGTAATCCAAGCCACACGAAATTTTAAATTTTCTGGTAGTCATATTTTAAAAAGTAAAAAGAAACAGGTGAAATTAATTTTGGCAAAATGTCTTATTTTAACCAAATATGTCCAAAATGTTATCATTTTAACATGTAAATAATATAAAAATTAATGTGATAGTTTACATTCTTTTTTTATGTATATTAAATCTTCAAAATCCAGTGTGTATTTTACACTCATATGACATTTCAGTTTGACTAGCCACATTTTAGGAATTCAACAGCCACATGCAGCCACCTTATTGGACAGCAGAGCTCTAGACTTAAGACACTGATAATAGCATTAACTTTTACCAAGTTCTCGCTATATGTCAGACATTACTCTGTTAAACTTTTAATGTGCATTATTCGTATAAACCCTGCCACAACTCTGGGTATTAGTGCTTTTGTTATCCTTATTTTATACAGGGGTGGGGTTATGCCGAAGCCCTTTTTAGTGTTTCTCCAATATAAGAATTTACCGATTATTTTAAATCAATTTATTTGTAAGACAAAAAAAGAAAAAGATGTAAATGAAATCATTACTGTAAGTACGATTAATACAATTGTTACAATATCATTAACATATAAGATGAAAGTCGTAGTAGTTGGGTAAGTAAAGAAGTCAGAATTTACTATCCTCTAACCTTTTAACATATGCCTAAAGTCCAACTTGTGACATCAAATCTATTGGATAGTCAGGATCCTGGGTGAATGAGGAGACTTTGGTGAGTCACATGGCAGGATAGAATTCATCCTAAATGGAAGCAGCCAGCAGGGTTCATAACCTGCTCGTTCAAGCGCAGATTTTGACGTAGTATAACTCTAATAGGTGAATGTGGGACACTGAGCTTCCCCGAGGATTGATGTGGAAAGCAGGCAGTTTGGAATTTAAAAATAATGATTGATTTAGTAGTCAAGTATTTAATCTTTATGTTTCATTAACATCCATAGTTTCTCAAGGAAGACCAATTATTAAACATTTTTTATTTTTGTTATAAACTATTATAAGGAGGAAAAAGTGAAAACAATTTTTTTAAAAAATTTTTCTATCTGAGGTTAGGCTTCCAATTTTTGCCAGTAGAATTACCATTCAACATTGTGGCCAAGTTAAACAAATATTCTGTTTTAAACTGGCAGTTATTTAAGACATTAAAATGTAACCATTTAAAATAAATGAACAGAAAAATGCATTATTCTACAATGATTTTTTTAAAAATCTGGTGTATATTTTTAGACAAAGTTAATCTTTATTTTGAAATTCTGATTAGATATGTTAAACTTAAATTGTGGTTCTTTCTTTAATCGAAATACCCGTGTAGTTTTTATCTAAGGTGTTTTGAGGGGAAGGATATCACTATTTTAACATAGTACTTGAAATAGTGGCCATGTAACCCCTTTTTTACACATCATGCATAATCCTCAGTATTTTCTATAATCAGTTCCAGTGTCTTTCTTAACTGCAGAGAAAGAAGTGGATTTGAAATGAGCATCTAGCAACAACCCTTATAATATTTATTATAAAATATAACAAGACAGTTTTCATACGGGATTGATTGAAGAATCTTTCACCTCCTGATGTAAAAGCCTCTCTCTGGGCAGCACGTTCTGACTGCTTAAGCATTCTCTTTGTTATGGGCAGTAGGGAGTTGGAAAGATTCAGGGATTTCATCTACATAGGAGAAAGGCTTTTATAAAAGTGCTTAAGTGGTTTCTTGGTAGGATGTAACTAACGTTCCTTCTTAGTGGTGGAAAAGGTGTGCTGAAGCAATGGAAGACAGAAGTTGGTCTGAGGACACATGGTATCTTCTTCAGCCATAGTAGAAAGAGATCACAGTCTCCAGCTGCTATGATTTGAATAGTCTCACCATGTGAAAAAGAGGCTGCAAAATATAACAGATTTTGTTTTTATTTATTCTTGCTGTGTTTGTGTGCTAACTCTTAGAAGGCAAGGATGCTATTTATTTTGCCTACCGTTCTCAGAGTGCCTGACCTATAGTAGGCTCAGAAGTGCTTGCCCCTTAAATATCTGCTGAATGAATGAAAGAATGAATGAATACAACTTCTAGACCTTAGTTTTTAATTCCAGAGACAAAATGAAAGCTTAAAGTTAGCCAGTCATCACTGGTGAGCCAATCTGAATTATTTCTTCATTGGCCTGTGGAGGCAGAAGCTGGGGATGTCTGCATCGTGTCGCTGAATGGTCCTCAGTCTCTGCCAACAGATAAGAAATGTCAACAGCTTAACCCAGTAGCTTGCAAAAATAGCATAGTTGATGAAACTGGAAATTTAGGTGTGTGCTAGAAAGAAACCATTTGTCTTCCGTCTGAAGAAAAATAGGCTGACAGCAGATATTCCTCCCAGAGAAATCTAAAATATTTTTAAAAACCCATATAAGCAAGCAAGTAAGTAGCAGAAGAAAGGCTTCCTTCTCAAAAAAGCATAAATAGAACATCTTATTTTCAACAAATCAGGTAAATCATTTTGAAAATTTGAGGATTATGGCACGGCCCGGTGTTTCTTTAAGTCTAGTTTTGTTTTTGTTTTTGTTTTTTTTTCTAATACTGCTGGCAGTTTTCCTCAAAATTGAAATGAATATTTATACAATGAATCAAGTTGTTGTGGATTTCCTGGTTTGTGTCCCCACACACACACACCCGCCAGAATGGGGGTGGTGGTGGTGACGATTCATTCCGGCAAGGCATTTTCATCCCTTTGCAGACAACCCCGGCTGCTGTTAATGCTGAAAATAGCTCAAATGCTCTCAGAACAGTAGCACCACCCAGCAGCTGGGATTCTTTGCCTCTCTTACTTGCCTTCTCTCCTGCCTTTTTCCCTTCAGACTCTTGGATTGGACTTAATCTTAAACCTCTGGAGTTCAAGACCTTTTAAAAAGGGCTAAATAAACAATCTCTACATGTAAAAGGCCACTGACTCCTACTTCCTCTGTGTAGAGCAACTGTTGAACTCAGCTGCCGTAGGTAAGATTTTTATTCTGAAATTACTTGTTTTCTGAAACGCTCATGAGTGCTGTTTTTAAAATAACTTATGTATAGTAAAAATAAGGGGGGAAAGGGCTGTGAACGATTCCCAGGTAAATGTTGTATTCCAGAATACAGCAGTAGTGCATGCAGTAGCAACTGTGCATTTTCGTGGGTGTAATTTTAAACTTTGCTGAAGGCTGTAATATTGACCTGCAATACTGAGTTGGCTATGACTGAGCACTGGATCAGAACTCTAATTAAGCCTGATTGCCAGAGCAATGAGAGGACCTTTCAGACATCATAATTTTGTTTAGACTGCTTTCTTATTTTTAACTTTCTAAGGGCATTTTTTTTTAAGGCAAAAGAAGTAACCATACAAGTAAAGAAAATATATTGGTAATTGTTCCTTAAGGACAATGAAATAGCTTTATTATGTTAACCAGAGCAATGAGAGGACATTTCAGACATCATAATTTTGTTTAGACTGCTTTCTTATTTTTAACTTTCTAAGGGCATTTTTTTTAAAAGGCAAAAGAAGTAACCATGCAAGTAAAGAAAATATATTGGTAATTGTTCCTTAAGGACAATGAAATAGCTTTATTATGTTATGTTCTCCTTTCATTACTGTTTTGTTCATTACAAGTGTGGAATCAGAGCAGTTGTTGTGGAGGTTTTTATGTTTTTGTTGTTGTTCGGTATATTCCTGGCATAATTTAGGTAGCTCAGTTTTGAGAATTTCTTACCTGAGCTGAATATCATTTGCTGGGCACATTTGCTGGCAGAATGTTTTTGTTGTTGTTCGGTATATTCCTGGCATAATTTAGGTGGCTCAGTTTTGAGAATTTCTTACCTGAGCTGAATATCATTTGCTGGGCACATTTGCTGGCAGATTTCTCTGCTGTGACAATGTAGCATTTTGGATAGTTTTCTGTGCCTCCCTTCTCCCCCCTTCCTTATGCTTGCACTTGACATTTTGCAAAGTACTTTGATCTGTGGACTTTAACTTCAAACACAGCATTTACTTTGATTGTGGATATTTACTATGTTCAGTAAAAAAGTCTCTTTTTTTTTTTTTTGCTTTGATAGCATTTCCTTTAAATAATTTGTTGGTGCTTTGGTTTTTCTCACTGACATGTCTTAGATTTTACTTCATTTGGGGTCCCCCAACTGAAAGAAAAGACTTCTCTGGCAAGATTCGTTCACCACGTAGACTTTATGACAGCTCACAGTTCCCCTCCAAGCAGATGTCTAAAAGCAAGCAGCAAATGACAGGGCACAGAACCTGATTCCATCAACCCCTCACTTGAGTGTCCTGCTACCTCCAAATTACCATGTGTCTTGGGGCCTAACTGTTGCTTTTTTAACATGGACACTAAAATCCTTGGAGTTTAAAGATTCTTTTTTCCAAAGAAATGTATTGGCATCACAGACCACATGTCAAAAGAAAACACACATTTTGAACATGTAGTGATATTCTGAGTTTAAAAAAAAAAAAGAAAAACAAGAAAGAAAATAAAAGACCTCAGTAGCCAAAAGCCTGTTATACTAAGAAAACTTCTGCTTGTGAGGAATAAAGGATGAAAAAAATGTACTTCCTAAAATGGGCAAAATGTAGCACTTACTAGCCATTCATTCAACTTTTAAATGATCTCTTTATTTTAAAGAAAGCTTACATGTGTATTACATTTGCTTGTTACCCTTTTCTTTCCCATCCCAAGCACAGGGTATTTTCAAAGTCCACAGCCAGATACTGAGTTTGACGTTCTCTGTCAAGCTGTCCCTGCATGTTCTGTTGAAGGTTAGGAATCGAATGAGCCTAATCCAGGCAGGAGACTGTTTAAGTCCCCGTCAAGGACTGTGGCTCCTCAGAACTGACACAGTCTGCTCCCTTTGCCCTGCACCTTGCTAGGAAGGAAAGAAGCAGGTGGCCAAAGGATGAGTTTTCAAAGGGGTGAAGCTATGGAGAATGTGTGAGAGGTTCCCCCCGGATTAGAAGCAGATGCAACATGATCTCTAGAATTTGGATTTATAGTAGGAAAACCTAGAGATATTCAGTCTAATTTTTATTTCCTAAACCTAGACATTCAATTGCTACTTTTTTCTTCAAATCTACATTATAAGGAACATATTAATAATCACATTTCTGTGTACAGTCAACATTTTAAATCCTTCGGTTATTCTGAGCATGTACTTTACTTGTTCCCAGGGCCTTTGGGGATCTAGAACACTCTTCACCTTAGCATATTGGGAAGCTTTCTTCGTCCAGCAGTGCTGAGTGCAAATATATTGCTAATGGCAGTACAAGTTCAGTCATAAAATCAAATGGCACCAAGAAGAAATTGGCTTGGAAGATGTAGACAGCCATTCCATTCCCAGACAAGCCATTTTTTTTTTCCTGTTTTTTTTTACTTTTTTGTTCTCTCTGTTTCTTTTCACCCCTTAATTTTACTTTGAAACTTTGGATTGTTTGAACATGAAACTCAAAGGTGAAATGTAGCCAAATACACTGGGTTTCACACAGGTTCCACATGAAAGAAGTATTTCACCTAGCCTTTCTCGAAACTTGGCCCATGTTTGCCAAAAGTTTCATGAATGTCAGTCAGTGAGGCTGGATTTGAAACATAATCCAAAGCCAGGTGACTTCTGGTGACTTTGAGGCTTTATTGTACAAGTATAGAAGCTGTGAAACAAGGACATTCCTTATTTCCGTATCCTCTACTGTAATTTCATGTGGACACACTTTTTTCCCCCAATGAACTCCCATTTGTTTTGTGATATTTTAAAATCAGGTTCAATCCTAATATGATTTTTTTATGGTGGTGATATTTAAGAGTTAGCAAATAGAAGTCTGCATTTTAAATCCCAACACAGTCTGCACCACAGTGGTGTGAACATGTTGGTGTAATTCAGCTGACGGAAGTCCCAAGAGAGTCATGGAATGTCTTTCTTTGCTTAAATGTGCCTCTGTGCTCATGAGGAACAAACAGTAACATTCTGTCCAGGTCTATTCGCCTGACAGTATGCCTTTTGTTCTCTCTCCAATGGTGGTGTCAAATATATTGGTGGAAAAATAATAAACTTCCAGATTTTTTTTTTTTTGCCTGTTCAACCGATATACTCCTCGGGAACATTGTAAGCATTGAAAAGTTCGGTACTATTACTTGTAATGTAAACTGAGAATAAAGGAGTACTCAGTAGAGTTAATTTCCTTCAGAAAAGCTTGGCAACGTAGAGCTTACGTGTGTGTTAGTAGTCAAATGGGACCTGGTTGTGAAGAGGTGTGTGTGTGTGTGTGTGTGTGTGTGTGTGTGTGTGTGTGTGTGTGTGTGTGTGATCAGTGGAGAAAGTGGGTGGGGAGGAAGGGGGGATTTGTAAGCCTTGTTCAGTAAATCTGTCACATTGAAAACAAAAAATGATCAAGCCTGGGATCTGAAAACATTCCTTTCATTTGTTGATAATATGAATTTGAGTTGGCTGAACATTGAATATTTTTGGATTATTTTTCTCATTAATGACACCAAGCATTAGGATTCCAGACACAGTAAATAATCTCCAATAAAAATAAGACCAACTGGGAGACAAATAGTTGTAGATAAACTCACATCAGTCAGTCTCAGAAAGATCATCATGGTTCTACAGCCATCATAAGATGCTAACTATGATTTGACTTGTCATTTTCTTAGTTGGTAGATTTCTGAACTCATTTAAAGAATTTTCATAAAAATGGATTTGTGAGCTCACTAAAGATTTAGCCAGATTAAATTTGGTGAGATTTATAGATATAGGTTCATTATAAAATTAAATTGCCATCACATTTTATTTTAAAGATTTTATGATAAATTTTTAATTTAATAAAATATACTTTTATTAAAGATACAGTTTACATTTTAGCAGGTGACTTGCAAAATGACTGTAGTTGATCCTATACTAGATAAAGCATTTGAAAAGCTAGCAATAACAAAACTTGTGGGTCCCCTATGTAGAAGCTGCATTTTTACACTGGCCTCACTATTCATAGCATAGCATTTATCATCAGTATGACTGATTTTGATATCCCCAAACTAGTACAATGAGCAGAGGAAAGGAAGATACTCAAATTGAGATTCTAGAGCAAATAAGAGAAAACAATTAACAACCATTTTACAAGGAGGTTCTCACTAAATACATCAAGGTATAAGGAGTTCAATCTTTTTAAAACATTCACCATCTGTAACATAACAGGATGAAAGCGTGTAAATACTAGGTTGAAAATAAACACCAAACTTGTGCACATGCAAATGTTTCTCTAAGTCATAAGAAAAAAAAACTTATTTCATGAATGACATCCTTTCTCATTTAAGAATGCAAAAATCAGTGCCTTAAAAAACACTTTTTGTGTTTAATTTACTGTCAGAAAAAAATGGAGTCCACATAACACTTACCCATCTCTCAAGGATATATTATTGTAGCCTAAAATTATATATACAATGCATTTGTTTTCTTTTTAAAAAATTAGTACCAGTCTCACCAGAAGGTGATGACACAAAATAGAGTCTCTCCCCTGATGAACCGAAGAGGATTATTTACCTGAAGCAGATAAAACAATCATTTCTTTAAAAATCTTCATTTTTTCAACTAAAGTTTTGCTTTTAATTTGGATATTATGTCTTTCTCCAAAATAAGAAGTAGTACTTAAAATATATTTTACTAACTAAAATGCCAGAACACCACAGGATCTTACAGCCTTATTCTCTCTGCTTTCCAAGATGGGCTCTCGAAGAGACTGTGGGCATTTTGTGTAGGTTTCAATGCAGAGACTGCTGTCACTGCACTCAGGCCTCTCTCATTCTTGGGTTTTATCCTGAGGAATCATGGAGTAAGTGACCTGAATGACCCTCTAGATCACTCCTAGACCCACTGGGAAACGCAGCCTTCTTGGGTCACCAGCTGGAATTAGAAGAGAGAAGGGAGGAGACGACGTTTTCCCCGCCCCTGGGCAGAGGGCCTCCCTGAGTCTC